AAAATGCATTTTGATGCTAATAAGCTGTACTGCAGTGAAATCCTGGCTATCTTGCTGCAAAACAATGATGGTAAGTGTGTTTGTGGGTTTGTCACACCGATCACTGTTTCTTCAGTATAGTGCCCCTTTTTCATGTCTTTACTTTCTTCTTCCACATTTTCAAGTTCTGATCCGATCATTGTCTTACTTCTTTCTCACATTTCTTTTGCCTGTCCATGTTAGTGTTTCCTTGTTCTCTCTTTGTGTCCTTCCCTTCCTCCTTTTTGTCTCCTTTCCATTGCTCTCTGTCTGTAACCTTTCTTGGCTCCGCCCCGTTTTTCATTTCCTTTGCCATTTCTTGTTCTTTCCCAGGGTACCTTTCATGCTTCCTTGTTTTCTCTCTCCATTCTCCCACTCCTCTGTCAGTCTTCCCAGCCCACTTCTCTTCTTCCTCTCGTCTTGTCTGTTTGCTGTCCTTCACACTACCATCCATCACTAAAAACCTGCAAAGCCTCAAATAGATGCAGGACTATCAGGTGTCTCATTAATGTACAGACCATATTGATATTCAGTGGGAGTCGTGTGTTATTTTGCACTCATTCTCCTCTTCACTGGTGCTGCCTTTTTTCACCTTCTCTCTACTGCTCTTTAAATACAATCAACAACAAAAAATGTTATTTTTCACAAACCAAAGGAAATGTGCTTTTATTTATAATCTAATCTAATATACAGTCTGTGTCTTGAAGTAAGAATAAGGCAAATCACAAGACTTCTCTTGGGAAAATGACATTTTGGAATTTTTTTTAAATGTACTAATTGGAATATAATTATTGCTTCCTGCTGTCAAGTTCGACTAAAAACACCACTCTGCAGGTTTTATGTATAAAATACTTGATGCTGCAAATGAGAAGAGCGTTTCATCCCTACTAATTAAGACACGGTAGATTAATCTTTTTTCCATATCAAATTTTGCTGTTAGTTATGAACACTTGACTAACGCATGCAAAGCCCATAATATTGTGGTAAACACCAGTGTGCATTCCTGATGTCACTTTTTAGGATTTCTGGCTGTTGGGATTGTTGCATTTTACAGTTGGCTCTCACCTCCACGTGGTGCCACATATGGAATAAATTGTGAGGATACACATATACATTATTCCTTTATTTGCCCAGATTTTTGTTCAATGTCTTTCTCCGATTGCAGCCTGGTGGCCAGCATGTTGTTCAGTGTTTGTGCTCGTTGTATGACTGTAGCACTTCTGTCATTTTCTCTCATTTGTCTTTTTCTCCTTTGCTTTCATACTTCATCATCATCAGTTTTTTGTTTTCCTATAATCTCCCTCTTGTCCTGTTTTATTTCTTAGTATTTCTCCTCCTTTATTTCTCTTTTCCACAGGTACCAGAGAACTGCTCGGTGAGATGGATGGCATTGATGTGTTACTGCAGCAACTATCTGTAAGATTTTGCTTTTACTTTCTATTTTTAGGTTGCACTGCCACTACGACGCTTATTGACCCATCATCCATTTGATTCTTACAAGGATAAGTCTCAGAAATTGCTCAAACAGAAGTATTGCCAGGCCCAGGTTTTAACATGGATAATGTTAAAAAAAGAAATGCTCTGAGCATCCTGTGACATTTTGTGGCTAGAATGAGACATTCAAATGATCATTAATAACCCACCAGATTAGCAATTAATCTTTTATTGACGAGCATTTTAAGTGTGGCTGGTAGACTTGTCCCACCTTGTCTCTTTTTGTTCTCATAGGTACAGTATAGTAAATACCTGGCTAATACTTTTGTCACACTAGGCTCATTTTCTGTCATTAGAAAGGCTTAATTTCCTAACTTTCTTAAATGATTCTATTTAGAAACTGTTGTTGAAGAATTGCCTTGTAATGCAAAAGAAACGTCCATGCCAACGCAGTGTGCTCTTGTCCTGCCTTCTCTCTCAGGTGTTTAAACGTCACAACCCGTCCACAGCCGAGGAGCAGGAGATGATGGAGAACCTCTTCGATGCTCTGTGTTCCTGCCTCATGCTGCCCTCCAATCGGGACCGCTTCCTTAGAGGAGAAGGGCTTCAGTTGATGAATCTCATGCTTAGGTAAGGCTGCACACTATAAGAAATACCACCGCAGGGACACTCCTCGTCTGTTCAGTTGCGGAAGTGCACCAGTTTAAATGTTGATGAAACAACTATCAGCATTTGTGAGAGGGTACTGATGATAAAGGGGGAATGATAAGCCCATTGTTTATATATTTATCTACTGTAAAAAGTACGTAAAGCAAGAATTTTTCATTGTAATATGCGACCTGCAGCAGTGCATCAGTGAGTTGGCTCTGAGATCCACTCATGTTTATATATCACACATTAACATGCTTTTTTTTTTATCCAGACAACAATCAAATGTTAAAGCTCCAATATGCAAGTTCTGGAAATCAGGCTAGCGCCAGCATGAGTGAATAGCAAACCACTCTCTTGATTCCACTCAACGTTACTTTAATGTCAGATGTAAATCGAGTATTTGTCTACATTACATATATATTTTTAGACAGTTTTCTGTGTTGCTCCTAAGGGTGCATGATGTGTCTGACCGTCTTTTTTAAACAACTATCTTAAGTTATTCGAGGATTTAATTAGTAGATTACAGCTCAGCAGACTAAACTGGGCTACTTTGCCTGAATAGAGTTTAAAAAAAGGGGAGACAATTGCAGACAAATATTTTATGCTTGGTGCCAGAAGAAGCATCTTGAGGGAGAAAACCTTGATTCATTTGATTTGAAAGGTCTGTTCATAACCTCAAGGGAAGCTATAACTTCAGAAATGTTGACGGTATCTGCCAAACATGAGCCTTTGTGTTGTGAAGACGAATTGCCCAACTATGCACATCTCAGTTGATTATGTAAATTCAGTGATTGCATCAGATGAGTTTAGCTGAAGCAGTGCAATTCATTTTAAAGTAGACTGTGTATGACTGCTGCGTTTGCTACATAAGCATTGATCAAGAATAAATAACTGAAATCAGTGATGCTATTACCCATTAACTTGACAAAGGGTTTGCATTCATCTGAGTCACAGGTATAAGAGATATTTCTCTCCATTCTGCAGTAAATAACCTGGAATGATCAGTGTCACTTAATCACAGTGTACAGAATATAAATGCATCATGTATGTGTGTAATATTAGCCTCCCACAGTGCACTGAAGTGCTACAGTAAAGTGTTGATCCCTGTACAACACATCTGTTGTTATACTATCTAACCCTCACAGCTCAGCTTAGAGCCTCTTTCTCATGCTTTCTGCACTCTAAACATTAAAAAACTCACAGCATAACAGGGCGTGGCGCTGCACAATAGGATTGTCTGTCTGCTCCATAGCCCGGCGAGACTGCCTGTCCAATCAATCAACGATTGGTGGTGCACGGCAAGACGAAGATGTGACCTTAAAGTCTCATAAAGACATGTTACATGCTTTCATGAAACCGTCACAGCTTCCGCACCTTTGCGCTGTTAATCACATCACTGGACACGCAGATTTAGGACTTGGATCAATATCTCATTACTGAAATGTAAAAAAAACCCTTTTCTGTGAAATCATCCACCAAAGAAATGGAGAAAGAAAAAAACAGAGGTGCAAGAACAATCCATGATAGGATGTTGGGGAAACTTGTTAAAGTTTACAGACAAACTAACTGTGAATTTGATTGTCTATTTAATAGAGTACACAGAGTATCGCCATTTCCAAAAACTGTAGATGTTTTCATAAATGAAAGTTCTTGTTTTGGACCAGTTTCATTAGAGTTTTCATTTCAGGTCAGCTCTTGTTTTTCTAACCAAGACACAGTGAAAAATAACAATCTGAGAGAGCAACAGAATAAAAATCATCTCCACTCACTTGGTTTTCAATCAAAAACTCTATTTCACTTCCTGCCAGACATTTTCAGCTACATACAAATTTTACATCTGGTGTTTTGATGAATTTGTGCCAGAGCTACAGTAAATGTTTGTCAGAGCAGACTCTGCAACTGAAACTAAGCTGTACCACAGGCAATTTTACAGAAACATCCAAGAACCATATACTGTGTTGATCATGTGTATCAAATCGGTATTAAAAAAAAAAAAAAAACAACTACCAAATGATTCCATATTTTCTCTCATGAACATTTTTTGATAGACAGCTCCCCTAACTTTTAAGGGGACTTTTCCGTTTTCCAGTCATGTGTTGGTCAGAGTTTGAGGTGTACACAGGTTAATAAACTCTTCAACAAAAAACATCTTCGAGTTATTGAGTCTCATCTACAATCTCAGCTGTCCATCATATATAATGTGTCTGTCTGGAGAACCAGACTGCCTGAATTATGTGTCCCTCCTCAGAGATAAACACTGTCATATGTCATTGGTGGGAATGGAGGAGGTGACACCGTGACAGACAGCTACACTCCCTAAGAGGAGGTGCGGAGTGGGGTGGCATGTAGACAGGGTGGGAAACAGTTACTCCCTCTTATCATGCCAGTGCTTTGTTGATGGCAAACAGATGAGTATCTGCACTTGTATACACAAATTTATTTGTTTGTATTTGTTTGACAGAACACGCAAATCCTGATTATTCTGGTTGTATTATTGGCCTAATTTGTTTGCTACCTTGTTTTTCTGAATTAACATGGAAACAATAGCTGTATGTTGTTTAAACTCACAACAAGATGAGAATCATGTTTGTTGTAGTTTGGTGAAAGGTACACTGATTTTGCCGTAGCTCAGCTATAGACTGTGGAGAGAACATCTGGTGAATTTGCAAGAATATTTTCATTTTTTTATCCTGAACTTCACAAACTTTTTGCCTGTGCAATATTGTCTCTGCCAAACTCTCATGGCTGCACATAAATGCCTTGTTTCAGCATGGTAAATTCTTCCTGTTCATGAGTAGGCCCATGTTTGTGTTATTTCATTATTTACCACCACTGAATTGCCATTAAGGCTGTTTGTTCTGCTTCATTAATTCACCAAATATTACCTAAGAATTAAATATTTCACACTGCAAAAGTGCTGTAAGTAATCAGCAGATAAAAAAATGTACAAATAAAAATGAAGCCTTGTTCACAGTATTAGGAGTCTTGAAACAACAGAAAATATTAATAGTATAGCAGCCAGCAACTTGCCATCAAATTAGCACTATACTGTGACAGAAATGGTATGACCTAAAATTGGATGCTTAAGCAAAATAGTTGATGACAGGGGTTGTGACAGTCTCACAGATCCTAGACAAGAGAAAATTACCCCGTTGGTGTTGTTAAATGTCAACTTTGTTGAGTTAGCAAACCATTTGACATGGATATTATGGTGTATGAAGTGTTTATTATAGTTTATTTTTATTTTATGTGGAAGTATTGGTTTGTAATAGAGAGAAAATTCTTAATAAAAAGGTAGTGGTGAGTGCAGCATGTCCTCTTAAACCGTTTGTACCTGTCACTTGGTAATACATCTGTTCATAAAAGTGGTTCTTACATACGCTTCATTGTTTTATTGTACTGATTGTAGCATCTTCACTGTAAAATATCATGTTTGCTGCACCCACTGTTTTTAGTATTAAGGCAAAATGATACAACTGACAAGTTAATTTTTATTCAGTCATTCCCATGAATAGAAATGATAAAGGAGTAACACTGCTAGAAATGGGAACATCCATCTCAAGGCTGAAAAAAATAAAAAATGTAAAAGAAAATAAATAAATATATGAAAACAGCCCTGTGTTTAGTTCACATGAAACACAGAGGTTTATGGAAGCAATCTAAACTGTGGTCAGACCTTTTCAGGACTTGTCATTTGAAATGTTCTTGTTTATGTGTAGTGAAACAGCATCACGTGTCTCTGACTTCAACAGTGTTTCCTCTCTCTGCTACAGAGAAAAGAAAATGTCTCGAACCAGTGCTCTGAAGGTCCTGGACCATGGGATGATAGGACCAGAGGGAGCAGATAACTGCCATAAGTTTGTGGACATCCTGGGCTTGCGAACCATCTTTCCACTTTTTATGAAAACCCCCAAGAAGATGAAGAAAACTGGTCTTTCAGAGAAGGAGCATGAAGGTCAGTAACTAATTAAAACAGCGGACAGCTGTTACAGCTGTGTGTCCCAATGGGACAGCCAGTGAAAGCTGTGGTGGGATACTTTTTTGCATTATTCTTAATTAAACACCATCAGCAACAAATGAAATGTTGTAACAAACAGTTAAAGAAACAAAGCAATTGAAACCAAACACATTATGTGTGTGTGATGATGACACATTTTCATTAATGGGTTCCACAGATGCAGTGAAATAATTATGTAGAAATAAGGTTTGTAGTCAGAGTTCCTACATCTCCTGAGAAACTTGGTCTGCTCTGTACTTAAAACACTGGAAATAGTTGGAAAATAACAGAAATTACACATCCTGGAAAAACAGTTTTGTTGTTTTTGTTTGTTTGCTTTTGTTTTTGTTTAGTTTTTTTATTTATTTATTTATTTATTTTTACTGAAATCTATGTTGAGGAGCAAAAGTGGTTCAGATGGTGCTTCACCTGCCGGCTGCTTGTAAGTTAGACCTGGTCATGTAAAACACAGAGTCCCTGGCCAGGAACATTTCTGGACATGCAGTAACCTCAGGCCCTGTATTTTTCTCCACATCCTCTGGTGCAGAAGCAGAAGGAGGTAAAATATATCCACAAAACTAGGCGCAGTCGAAAAATTCTCCTTTTAAAATGGCACTGGTGGATGTCAGGCAAGCTCACACGAATGCGCAACCTCCTGGAGATTATGAACATTCAATGAAATCCTTAAACTATCACTAAATACTTAATTTTGTTAGGTGTGAATGATTATTGAAGGTTTTAGGGCTACTTTAAAAAAAATCTTCAATACATTGCTGACTATACTAATTTAAGCGATTATACTAATGGTGACAGGGCCATTTCCTCCTCCTCCTGCAGGTTTCAGCAGTGTGTATAGTCACCTCCATTTCCAGCAGACTCACGCAATCCTAATCTTCTCATGTATCATGGTTTGCTGCCTCTTCATCCTGTCAGTTTACACTATCAATCCAATCTTGATTGATTTTCCTGGCTGCACTCTCAAACCTCTCTTGTCTCTGAGTGAGAGATAGGAAGCACAAACAAGAGCCAGAGAGGGAGAGAAAGATAGGATGTCTGTGTGATAGAGGGCAGGAGAGTAAAATAGAGACAGAAAGGAAAAAAAGGTAGAAACCTCCATCTTTCTGCGCTTTGTTTGATTACCTACGTCCAGAATGTGAAAGCCCTTCGCTCACTCTGTCTGTATTAATTAAGTCTGAAACATCCGGTGGGGCTTTGCAGCCCTGCAGAGGAAAATAAATTGCCTACCATTGTGTCCTGTCTCACCCAGGGACTGGATGAATTAACCTTTGACCTTCTCAAGCAGTGGGAGTAAGAGTGGGGAAGATAACCCATCCTAACAGTTGAACCTTTCTCCCCCTGTGTGTTGAAGCTGCTGTAAAAGCAGACATGCTTAAAAGAGATGTGGAAATCCACCTCAAAGTGTTGTGCAAGAGCCACAACACACAAATCAACCAACAGATTAGTCTATATTAAACGTTAAAAGATAAGGCCGGTCATTGTTTTCTATTAACAGTATTTTCATCACTCCCCGTACAGAGACTAAAACCAACAATGAATTGCATCAGTGGTCATTCAGACTGACCTTACATTCACACTGATCCAGCAAAACACAACTCCCTGCTTTGTTTTAACACAAGGGGCTGCGTTTGTCAGGGCGGAGAGGGGTATTGTAGACGTGTATGATATTGTGACAAGTTGATGTGAGTGGCCACGTTCACATTTCCAGCCCGGGAGCTTTGATTATGTCATGGTTAGTCATGCCGCTAATGTAGCCTACTCTGCCTTACAACCAGTTCTATCACCAGTGTGTCTGCATTGATAGATAAAAAAAAAACACAGTTTAACATCCAGTGCTAATGAAATGACACCTTTGAAACTCAGTCTAAATGTGGCCTGAGTCTGTTAGTCCTGGCTTAGCTTTTTTGTCTGTGCCATAGACCCTTGTTGTTCAAAAATGATTAAAAACACATCAATAAAACAAACTGCTGTTTTGGTTGACATATTCCCTCATTAGCAAACTCCAGACCCGAGTGTGAGGAGCTAGTGGAATGTAAACAAAGCAGAGAGCACACGCATGATCTTGGGCATGTCCAGTTGACACTAACTCATACTAGCTTCAGGAAATTATAGCCACTCGATTATGCTGGGACAACATAGTCAAGCCTGGGGTTTTATAATGCAAAAATGTCACCCAGTGAGGTGGCATGCTTCCCTGATGTGTTTTTAATCAGTTTTGAGCAACAACAGAGCTCTTTCACACAGACAAACGAGCTAATCCAGGACTGACAGACAGTAACCATGAGTAGCGGTATTTCATTGTCAGTTTTACTCTCTGTATGGAGAAAATGACAGGCCTTATGTTTTAACAATTTAATATGCACTTGCAAATGTAATTTTGCAGTAAACTCATGTCATCATTCTTTGTGATGAGAGTTGCAGGCTGTATATGATTTCCCGTCATGTCTCCATGGCTTCAAAGAGCTAAACATAACGAGATGCCTGTCATAATATAAGTCATATTGAGTGAGCCTTCCTATATAAGGATGGGTTTATAATTGAAAATGCAGTGAATCAAGTGGTTCTTTGGAATAACACAGTTATACTGTAGATTAATTAACCGTCATCTGCTTCAAACAAACGTAATTAGGAGGTAGGGACGTCTTTGCCCTTCTATCCTTACTGCTCTCTTGCTCTCACAATCATTCCATGGCATTCTATCATAGACCCCGGTGACAGTTGATCCCAATGAAATTCTTTCTGAAATTGACACAGCTGAAATTACCAAGGTTTACAGGCCATATTAGTAAACAGAATGGCACCATTAATAGAGAAGTTGTAAGTGGATAGGGAAAAATGAAAGAAAAAAATCAAATTACATTTCTTTGCTCATGAATATTCGTGTCGTAACACTGCATTTCACCTTGTTTTTAGGGTCTCAGTTTATTGGTGTATATACTCTGTCATTACCAATAAAATGAGATTGTGTGATGGAAAATGGTGGCGGCTGGTTGTTATATGTAAATGGGTAATGACGCAAGCGGGTGTGAGGAACAACAGAAGTAAACAAGTCGTATACATGGCGAGGCACAATAGTCACAGCTCTGTCTCTAGGTCCATCTCAGAAAAGTGTTGCTTTGTGTGCTCACTTGCATGTGGGTGTTTGTTTGGTGGAGAGAGTGTGCACAAGGGAGAGGCTAAGGGAGGAAGCAGAGGCCTTTGCTGTCAATTTGTTTTGAATGCCACACATAAACCTTCAAGTGCTGCAAATGCCCTCATGATGACCCTTACTTTCTAATGAATGCACTGAAACAGGTAATGAGTGAGGCATGCCAGCAGAAAGAAACCTGTATTGGATATTTTATGGCTCTGCAGTTTTGCTGGATAAATGCAGTAAAGAAAACAAGAGAGTAAAGTCTATTTGATGAAAATAGAATGCTTCTATGCCCCCCCCCAAATTATGGCAGTTTCATTATAAAGATACAACTTGGAATTTTATCAGCCTATTACATTATCACCAGTACCGGCTCCTCTCATATTAGCAACTGAAGATTTCAAAAGCATGACTTTGTAGCAGAATATATGAGATTAGCTAAGTGCCTGTAATAGAGCATTGTGACTATCTGGATTCAGTGATGAAACGTATATCAAACATTTCAGTCAAAGACAGAGAATCAGATGGAGTTCTTATTTGATCTCCCCTCCCAGCACTGAGCTCCTTTGGTGCAGATTAAGAGTAACATTATACATGATGGTAATCTGTACTGCCGTCGGAGTCACGCTGTGTAATCCTATTATTAGTGTATTTCAGAGGGAGAGGTTTATCGTTGGATCCCTCTGTAAAGATGCATCTAATTAACATCTTTCTCACGTTTGGGCTTTCCTGTATAGGAGTTGTTCCATCTCTGTAAACTCATGCTTTAATGGACTATGTGGCAGTATATTTACATTTAAGTGAAATGATTTATTAAAAACAAAACAAAAAAAAGTGTTCTGTTGAGAAAAGGACATGCTCAGTGTTTAGAAGAGCGG